TTTTTTTTTAATAATTATTTATTTAATTTTATTTATCATTATTATTCTTCAATTGGCTATAGGGCATATGTGCTCACCCTAGAGAGTAAGTGAGAAAGCAAGCCACCGAGTCCAGGACTCAAACCGTTGCCAGCCACATGGAAGTTCAGGGCCTTCACCACCACATCACCTGCTGGCCCCAGTAATTCGAGTTTTTAATGTGAGGTTTATGTTAATTCAGTTAGGAGCTGGGCTGTGATTAGTGTTTGCTGCTTTAGGAACTGCAGAGGCTTCAGTTTCTTTTTTTCCTCCTTTCTTGTTGTCTTTGGGTTTTCTTAGTAACTCCTCAAATAGAGACTGTTTTGCAGCCCTCTCAGTTGTAACCCAGTCTTATCATCCTAGAACCATGTTGACCTGTCCGACTATTGGGAAGAAAGGCATTGTATAATCCTGTGATTAAATCTTAGTACTTCGGTTAGTTTAATTTTCTGGGCTATGACTTTCAGAAGTGTCTCATAGTCTTCTGTCTGCTTTCTTCTTCATCGTCTTTGTCTTCTTTCTCCTTTCTTTGTTCTTCTTTCTTTTCCTTCTTCTTCCTGTCAAACAGGCCTGAATGGGCTGGAGTTGTCTAACTGCCCTTCTCCCACTTCTCCCACATCAGGTAATGCCCCAATAAGGTAGTTCCCTTAAAGGTCAGGCCTTTGTTATGGAGGACACTCTGAGCATATTTCAAAATGGTTGCTTTTCCCCTTTCCTTGCCTGAAACATGAGGAGTTACTCTTAAAGGATTTCTACCAGTTACTGGCACTGGTTTCTAGTGACTGTAAACTGATCTTGGCTGTGATCTTCTGTATTTGCCATTCTTCAAATTTCAGGGTAGCAGTTTGCCTTGTGACATCGATTCTCTGATGGACCTAATTTTGACCTGCTTACTTCTTTTTCTTTTTTAAAAAGTTTATTTATTTATTGTTATTCTTCAGTTTTAACACACACACACACACACACACACACACACACACACACACAGATTGGAAGGGGGAAAGGAGAGAAAGAGAGAGAGAGAGAGAGGAGAGAGGAGAGAGAGAGAAGAATGAGAAGGCAAGCTGCCAGGTCTGGGACTCGAACCATGGTAGGCCATTTGAGAGTCCAGTGCCTCAACCACCACACCACCTGCTGGCCTCAACAGCTTTTTTTGTATTGTGAGAATAGGAAAGACTACTTCAAAACTATGTCAGAGCTGAAATGGAAGACCCACTCAATTTTCACAGTAGAGAGAAACATTTTGTATCACTTGCAGACTTGTCTAATTGTTTCTTAGGCATAAATCACTGGACAGCCAGCAGGTGGCATCATGGTTAAAGCAGCTGGATCCCACATGGTTGGCAGCTGGAAAAATATTCTGGGCAAATGTGAGCATGCTTGTGTGCCCAAGGTCCTGAGAGAGCAAGAGGGATTGCAACATGACCATCTCCTCTGGGGTTACTGTCTCACTTTCTCTCTGCCTCTGTTTCTGGTGAGCCCATGTGCCTTAGCAAAAAATTAAATTAAATTATTTAAAATTATGAAAAGTGGATTTTATGGTTCAAAAATTACTGATTTTTTTCTTGCTATAAGGAGAATGTACTCACTGGAGAGTGACAGAGAGACAGAGAGAAAGAAAGTAAGAAATCATCCCCAAGGGGAGATGGCCACCCTGCAATCCCTTCTCCTCCGTTCTCCTCTCAGATTTTTGGGTGTACACACACACACACACATACACACACACATATGATATGCCTGGCACATTTTTTTTCTTTTTTGTTTTGTGTTTGTGTGTCTGTGGTTTTTTTTTTTAGAGAAATTTTTGCTATAGGGCGTGTATGCTAGCCAGAGAGACAGAAAGCGAGAAATCACCCCCTCCCCCGGGGGATGACCATGCCGCAATCTCTCCTCCTCCATTCTCCTCTTGGGATTTTTCGGGCATGCACACGCTCCTGACGTAAGTTTTAAGCTGCTGGGTCCAAGACTCAAACCACAGTCGACTGCATGGGAGTCCAGTGACATAACCATTATGCCATCTTCTGGTCCCACCTGGCGTGTTTTTTCAAACTGCCGATTCAGGACTCAAACCATGAAGTTGTCCATGTAAGTTTTGCTATTTGGGATCCAGTGCCTTTACCTGGCCTGGCATTTTTAAGGCTTTTTATTCATATTGCCAAATAGTTCTCAAAAATGTGTAATTTGCCTCTGCCAGCAATTGAGTAGAATTATTTTCAGAATTTTATAGATATGGGAAGGTTTGAAAAGCCACTGACCTAATAAAATTTCTATTGTACATATATGCATCCCATTACTTTGAAAAGAGGAATCTTTTCTCTTAACCTGAATTTTACTGACCTGATTTTTTGCATGTAACCTAATGGGTTGATTCTCAATTTGCAGTTTTCAGAAGCGAATTGCTGATTGCCGTCTTTGGCCTGTAGAGATTACAAGAGTTCCTCTTGTTACTGCACCCAAAGGGAAAGCTGGCAAATTTGATAAGGTAAATCCGTTCACTAAGAGCATTTATTTAAGAAATGCTTCATCAGACCCAGCCCATTATTCTGCTTTTAATTCTGATACTAAAGAAAAATGTGAACCAATACGGTTGTTCTCCCTAGGATGAGAAACTCATCCTGATATGTCCTAGACGTTCCTTTTTTTTTTCTTTTTAACTGAAAATCTCATACCCTAGGAAACTCACCATCCTAGGAACACCAGGATTATATTTTTTATCTGAGCCCCTTAAAAATCATTTAGGCTTTATCCTCAGATATTCTATTTCTCGTTAGTTCATCATTATAGTTTAATAGTAAAACCATACAAAATAGTCTTTTAAAAAAATTACCAGACAGTGTGTATGCTTATTGGAGAGAGAGAATGAAAAAGAGAGAAGAGAAAATGAGAATGCACCCTTCATGGGGAATGGTCATGCTGCAATCCTTGCTACTCCATTTCTCCAACCTTTTGGGCATGCATACACATATGCCCAGAGTGTTTTTCAAGTTGTCGGGTCTGGGACTTGAACCACATAGCTGGCCATGTGGGATCTAGCCACCTCAACCACTATGCCACCAGCTGTCCCCTGAAATAGTCATTTTTCTAGGTCAAAAGTAGTCAAGTATTATCAGTATGGTTTGAATTAATGCATTTTTAAACATTTCTTTTAGATTTAAAATGTTTTAGCCTGCTGGGACCAGCAGTTGGCGTAATGGCTATGTCTCTGGACTCCCATGTAGTCAACCGTGGTTCGAGTCCCAGACCCGGTGGCTTAAACTCACACCGGGCGCGTGTGTGTGTGTGTGTGTGTGTGCCCAAGATCCCAAGAGGGGAGGGGAGGAGAAGGGATTGTGGTGTGGCCATTCTCCCTG